AAAAGACAGAAGAAAATAGCTGCTAATATTGGATAAGAATCAACAATAATATAAACACAGTCCCAAATACGCTAATAGGAAAGAATAATAATATAATCAAGGCAGCTACCAACTAACTAATAAAATATACAAGAACAGAGAAACTGATGAAAAATGAACAGAAACTAATAGGACTAAAGATATTAGAAGACCTAGAAATAGAACTAATTAGGAAACAAAAAATAAGGGAGAATGTTAGTCAAGAGCTAGTAGAGGTCCTAAGAAGAAATATACTAAGAAACAAAAACAAATATACAATATATACAGATGGTGCAGCAAATAAAAGAAATGAAGAAGAAGCAACAAACAAAAACATAGGTATAGGTTGGGTACAAATAGCTGAAGCACAAAATTGGTCAGAAGAAGAGGTAGCATTAAAAGTAAAAGGATGGTCTACATATATTACAACTGAAATACTAGCAATATGGACAGTAATTTTAACAATATCGAAAGAGAAAAAATTAGTAATATTTACAGATAGCAATGCAGCAATTAAAAACATTAGTAAAGAATTAGCATGTATAGATAGAAACAAAGTTCTTAAAAAGAAAAATGCACTATGGATATTGAAGATAATAGATATAGTAAAAACAAAGAACATACAGATAGAGTGGATTAAAGTTAAAAGTCATAGTAAAAATAAATAAAATAATAAAGCTGATAGCCTTGTGAAGAAGGGAACACTAAGCCAAAAAATAAATTTTCCAGAAAAAGTCAGCCATGATGAGATAGAGTACTGTCTAGAGTAGGAAAACAAATGAATAAACATATCTGCAAAACTTCTATATAAAATAGTAACAAACATCAGACTAAAAGTAGAGTGGAAAGAAACAATGGTGATCAAGAATATTGAACCAGAAGAAGAAATAACAATATACAATTGGATATACTTTTAGAAAAAGCTAAATTCATCTAAAGGAGTATACTGCCTAACAAGAAGAAGCAGTATAAGAAAAAATGCTTTTATGAAATGTATTTTGGACAAACTCTCAACATTGAAAGAACTCAATAGAAGAAGGCCAGATATATATACAACAGCTGAATGCCAAGTTTGCCAAAGCAAAGTTAAAGAAACACAAAAACACTTGGCATCATGTAAGGGACAAGCAAATTTATAAAAAAGGATACAGAAAGTATTTATTATGACAGCATGGAACAGCTTAAAAGAAGAAGAAAAAATACGAGTTCCATCTCAAGTATTATATATGGCACTTTTTGGACAAACAGAATGAGAGAAAATAGAAATAAGGAAAGCACTAATCAAAGGCCTAATTTCAAGAATAATGCAAGACAGGTTATCTTAAATCTTGAGTACAAAAACAAAACAACATTTTGCAAACATACTGGCAGAAACAACATGAAATACATTTTACGAACAAGTTTGGAGAATTCATTGTGAAAAGGTCAATGCATGGGAAAAAGAAAAAGGAATAACAAGTAAAGAGAAAAAAAGAAGACTAAAGGGAAAAAGAAAGTCAGGTATAAAGAAGAAAAGAAAGGCTAATCAGCAAGCAATAGAAGAAAGAAAGAAGAAAACAAAAGAAAAAGAAGAGTGAATAAAAAAAGAAGTTAGGAAGACAATTAACAAGCTTGTCATGAAAGGGTGAAGACCCTTTCATTATGGACTTTAAGTAGTTAGACAAGCAGCTTACTTCTGCTAAAAGTAATGTGACAGGTTGCACTTAGGTGCCATTAGGGTAGCTGGGTGATGCTAGGCTTAGTTGTTAGGTAAATTTATGTAATTACATTAGTAGTTTCAAAAATCTTAATAAAGCACTAACATAACTGCTTATATAATAATAATAAAAAAAAAAAAAAAAAAATGCATTTGTTACCTCCTGTTATATTAAATTTTGTCACAGGTTATATAACAATTATATAATTGGTTAATTTATGTAGATCAATATATTACTATTGTGAGCCTAATTTTTGGGATCACAAATGCCTGAATCGAGATGTTGATTCATACCCAATTCAAGATTATGCGAATAGTAACAGAAATATTACTTCTGTTACTTCTTTTACTTCTGTTACTTTGTTACTTATGTTATTTCTGCAATAAATAGAGTATCAACCTTTTATTAGATTTAGTTAATATATAGCATATAAGGAAGATATTGCATTTCTGAAAGAAATTAATTACAAATGTAAATAAAACATTTATTATAAATAAAGGGCATTTCTGCTCAAGTAAAAATCCTCTAATAATAATCCCTGAATTCCTAAAAACAATGATTCCTTTTTCTAAAACAAGTGATATCTCCAAATAAATACATTTGTATACATACCTAACCTATAGTAAAAGCAAAAGTTCTACTTTATCAAACTAATAAACTATCATTAAACCTCTTGTTATCCATATCATTCATCTATTTGTAACCTACTAAATTACATTTGATCATTTGCCATAAGTCATGTGACCAAGTCACTAATGCAAGAGAAGAACTCAAGTCCGATTCAATGTATTATAACCTGAATTAAGTTATACAAGAGCAGAAAAGAAAAAACAAAAGTTAATAGAAGAATAAATTAAAGGAAAAACTTAAAGAGAAGAGTAGTACTTACATACGTATAAACTATTAGCCAAATCTAACATGCCTATTTTGACTTAGCCACTATAGGTTACATGAAAGTTGGATTAGTTTAGCGACAGACTCACCGATTTACTGAAAAATACTATTAACTAATCAACTATATTATACATATAGCTTTCATATTAATAAACTTTACAAAATTTACAAATTGCGAAGTATATAAATATTTGGCAATTAAAAGCATTAATTAGTACTTTATAAGCTTTTAAATTACTAAATTAGGTGTTCAACTCTAAATTAGTAAAATATTTTTAATATTTTAGGCCTATTAACTAGCAAAGTTTTATGTTTTTGAAAATTAATAAATTTAGCATTAAATTATAAAATATTATAGCATTATTATAACTAGTATTATTACTTTCTTAGGTTTTAAAAAGCAATTATTTAACAAATATTTAGCATTAAGCATTTTATACCAAAATTTATTAATAACATATTTATTATATCTAACAATTAATATTATAAAAAATTATTTTTTATAATATATATATTAAAAAGTAAAATATTGGTAGTTTAATCCTATTAATTAGCAAAATAATAGTTTTTATAAACCAAAATATTAGGTAGTAAAAAGCTCAAAAATAATAATAATATGTATAAAAATATTGAATTTTTATATTTAGTTACTTAATTGATTTTAAAAACTATAGGTCGGTATTATCAACTTTAAGAAAACCAGAGAGTAGAAATTGTGAGGTTACAGTTACAATTGCAGATGCACCAGTTTCTTTTTGGATCTATATAATTAATCAATTTGCATTAGTATGTAGTAAAATAAAAAATTTACAATTGAAATTGTTGATAATAAATATATATTATACTTGCTGTCATGTTGCACTTAGTAATATGCTATTTATATGATACCTGAATTTTTTTCACGTTCAGTACGTATCTAGCGATTTGTAGAAAGGATTGTCGAAAATTTTCGCATGCGTACAGTACTAGTAGTACTGTAAATGGCACATCACTAGTTGACACTTGGTCAACAAATATAATTATTGATTGTAATGCTATTAGTAATTCCAAATCAGAATCTTTATTGCCATCTTAGATGCTTTAGAACACTTTACAGGTTATGTCATAATTAAATAAATCATGACCACAGGGTTAATTAAATGGCAAGACAAAACAAATGTCACTTAAAATATACTTCCAAACTGCCATTTTAAGAAATATCTAAGTTAGGTGTAATTATTAATGATTTTGCTGGAAACCGAATACTTTTTGCTGTGAGTATAGCATTAAGTTTTGCCATAGCAATAGCTATTAGTGCAAAAGTATTAATTATAAAATATTAGATCTAATTCAAAGGATAAGAAATCTATTGATTAAGAGTTTAAGAAGTAGATGGTGGTGCATTATGTTCAGATAAGTCAATACTAAGATCAACTTTTGCTGATTTTGAAGTTGTGGAAATGGTGTTGCCTCTTTTTCTTGGTCATCAAGATCTCATTTTTGTTTCTGTCTAATATAATTCATTTGGTGACAATTAAACCTATATTTTATTTTGCAAAAATTGGGATTTAAAAAACTTCTAAAAATATTAGATGAAAAACATATATAAAATATCAGAGTTGCTTAGTATGTAGTGTAATAGATTACTTAATTTGCACAAATTACAATCTGTGTGATGCAGCTGATCTATAGAATTTACCTATAATTCTGTTCAAGTTTCATAATAAAATATTCTGAATTGCTGCCTAAGTTAATTCTACTACAGTTTATCTAAGTTAATTCAACCACTGTTTACTTAAGTACTATGCACAAAATTGCATCAGAAAACTGTGCACATATCAGGCTGGTGCGCTATAGTGACAGGTATAGGTTAATTGAATTTATTATGGGTTTAATCTAAAAGTTAAATTTTATAAAGAACTAATATCGATACCGATATATAATATACAGTATATGGCTGAATTATATATGAAACTACCTTATTGAGCATAATGTACATAGCGCTAATTCTCTTAAAAATAAATTTTATTCTCATAAAGGTCTTTTTGAAAAGCATTGATTGTTCGTATTTAACACTGTGAATAAATTAAAATTGCTCATATTTAACACTGTGAATAAATTAAATCCATTAAATAAAATGAATAAAATCTAATTTTAATATGTACTGAAAAATTTTCCTGATGATGTAATTTCGATTACGTTTATTATTAAATTTATTTATATAAATTTAAAAAAAAATGACAGCGCTAGTTTTTATTTTTACCTTTTTCTTAGAAATATTAAATAAAATGTCACCAAAAAAATTACCTTCTCATAAGTATCAATCCCTATTTAGAATTATCGATCATTATTAATTTTGACACAAGCTCTTTGTCTTCATAGACAAACCAGTAACAAGAAAAAGTGCAAAAAATGCAAGTAAAGATGCTAATACTATACCAGTTGTGTCAGATAACTCTGAATGTTCCAACAATTTGCCAAGATCAAAAAAAGCATGAAATACTTGCAAAACAAATGATAAAGGTAGATTTGTAAAAGTAATATAGATGTTTGCCATGTGATCAAAATTTAAAAAAAAACTTTTTTCTTTCTCATATACAAAGAAAACGACGATTTAAATCAAGAGGCCATTGAATTAGATAACATAATTTACAAACTAGAACTGGTACCAAACATCAATCAAGACTACCTTCTATAGAATCACAAGGTCGACATAATTCTACTGAGACTTAGCAAAATCGAAACCATAATGTTTTGCAAATTCGCGAATCACAAAATTATCATGATAATCTTGAATCTTTACCCTTTAATGCCAATAAGTACCAACATAAAGTATCATCTCAAATGAATACAAGATCTACTATCTCAAGGGTTCGATCAAATGAACCTGGTGTTGATCCAGAGGCTATTGAATTAGATAATAATAGTTTACAAGCTAGAAGTGGTACCAAATATCAATCAAGGCACTCTTCTATAGAATCACATAGTCAAAATAATTATATAGTGATTCAATCAAATCAAAATCACAAGTCTTCTCAAATTTGCGAATCACAAAATTATCATGGCAATTTTGAATTCTCGTCTTTTATTGCCAATAAGTATCAACATAAAGTACCATCTGCACTTCAACTGAATTCAAGATCCAAGGTTCAATCAATAAAGTCACCTTTACTTGAGCGCCCTAACATTTATAACAATCATTATTCTGATCGAAGTTACTGTCCACATTCTGCTGAAACGGAATCTTCAGATGATGAAATCTTTTCTTCACTTGGCCAGCATTACAATACGAATTCCTTTAAAAAGTCATCTCATTCGGCACTTTCATTAAATATGCAAAATACAAAGCATACTACTCTATACCCAACTATTCAATCGGGCTTAGCAGCTTTGTCTACAAAAAGTGGTCTTTTTTTTCAGAATGAGATACATTTTGTACGCTGGCTAGAAACACATAGAGATGTAGTATTACAAGCATTGAACTTTATGCTTTCATCACCATCTGTTATGTCAAGTCATGTTAGAACCAACTGTTTGCCTAAATTCTTTATATACTATATAGTGATTATATAAATTAAATAATAGTTATCTTCATCTGACTTACCAAATTTGGCAAAAATACTTTCTGAGCAATCGCGAATTTTATTTCTTCGAACTCGAATGCCAACGAAAAGAACCTGTACTTCACTAATCAAATGCATTATTCCTAATATTGTTAACATACCTGATTGGAATGGAGTCTCAAGTAAATTAAGACAAGTGTTTAAAAACTTTCGTAGTACATATAATGATGATATTGCCAAATTGGCAAGTCAGCTAATTAGAAAAAAAAAGCAAGTAATTATTATTATTATTTCACTTTTATAATAATAGTAATTAATATGTAATAATATTCAACTATATTCTAGCAACCCTACTAACTGTAATATCAAAGGATTTATAGCTGGAGTTGTGTGGGAAAAGCCACTTAAGAGGCACATTGATATACTCGATTATGATGTTTTCAAAAACCAGCAATTAGGTATAAGGCATTAATGACCTTCATTTCTAAATGCCTCAAGATACATGTAGAATATTTGGCGGCGGAGTCTAGAGGAGGAAATCCAGATTACACTTCTATGGTCTTAAATCGTGTTAAGGAATTGAATTATATTACAATTGATATTACTTTTCCAGCTGCAAGTCATTTTCAGCATGCCAATCAGCTAGAACTTAAGGAAGAACGGGAAAGGTAAGAAAAATAAAAAAAAAATAATTCTAATAGTAACAATAACTAAATTATATTAAACTTTATTAGATTTCAGTAAATAGATATATATTCATCTGCACTATGCCTTATTTGGATTATCCTTTTTGTTTACATTGTGAACTTTATTTGGATAATTCTGTGCTTACATTGTGAACCTTATTTGGATGTTAATAGATTCTATTTGAACTATCGCTATATCCAAAATAGTTGCACGTGTAAATTTTTTTATCATGTATACTGCACATCCTTTTACATATACAGTATATTGAAATAAAAGTATTGTAGTAGTTCGTTAAAATCTTACTCAATCATATAAACTGCTATATAATATAGATTGCAATCTCAATAATTTTATAACTTGGGTCCCATTAACTAGTAATTTATAAAAATCATGGTTAATATACTATAGATATTAGTTTTTAATGTATATATGAAAGCAATTATAATACTGTACTGCGCTACCTTTAGTATCCAGGTCTTATAAAAAAAAAAGTATATTATACATAGCAATATACCCATGGTACTTAGTAGAGAAGCCATTGGTACTGAACATGGTTGTATTATGCTTCAATAAACTTCAATTAAATCTATTAAATCTTAATACTCAGATCTTATAAAATTTTTTTTTAAAAAATTTTTGTTTATATTTTTCTTATGCTCGATACATTTGTCATGTGATGTTTGAAACTTTTTTGGGTGGCGATTTTACCTGGTCAATTTACCATCCCTAAATACAACTAATTCTAGCAATTATTAAAAATGTGTTCTGTTTGCATGTTTAAAAATTGTATGGATCATAAGAAAAATAATATTCTAAGTTTCAATTAGAATTATCGAGCTTTTATGACTTGAATGTCTAAGAATAATTTTCTTATTAGAATAGTAAAATACTTCAAAAATTTTAATTTAACTAAGAGTTATATATTCGATTTCATTATTATTTAAACTCCTCCCTAAACTCCTGTTAATATATTATGTAATTACTGTATAATAGATCATTATAAAAGAACATTTAGCAAGCCAAAAAAATCGAATCTCTCATTTATGCAAAACTAGACACCTTACAAACTTACATAAGAGGATAATTATTGTTTCAAAGTGTTATCCGATTAAAGCTTTTTTTTCTCATTATATCTAGTTTATAAGAAAGCATATCTTTACCTGCTTCCCATTTTTTTTTAAAACTGGAACTTCTTTAGATTATTTAATAACATGTTCTCTTGAAATAGATTTAAAAAAAGTAATCCACCTCATCCTTACTTAAATATACATTTCAAGAAAACTTATTTAAGTGATTATACTTTCTCAAACGACCTAAACAGCACATTTTTAAATAATTTTAATAATGATGATCGATATTCGGAATATAACTCGAATTATAATAGACAATAGTTTGAATTTAACGTTAATAATAATCAAACCAGTAATGAACAGCAATCTTATTGTAGAAGTGACAGTAATCGAAACTATCAAGACTATGGCGATTGCAGTGATCAGTACACTATTAATAGCAGCTTAGACAATATTGACAACATAGAATCTGATTGGGAATTCAAAAATAACTTAAGTTATAGTAATTCAAATAATGTAAATAATGATAATGAATTTAATGACAATATAAATAATTATAGTTCAGATGAAGAATATGAGCTGATGGATAATATGTACAATAATGAATTTAATAACAATGTAAACAGTTATAGTTCAGATGAAGAATGTGAACCAAAGGATAATATGTAAAGATATTTGATGGAATGAAATCTGACATAAATTGGGATCATGATTGCCTCTTTGGTCTGTTTGAAAATTTCACAAATATGGCCATTTTCATATGGGCTACTAAGTATATAATTTGTAAGTAATTTGATATTTGTTATATGTCTGTTATATGTATATAAACTAACAATTTATGCATTTTAGCAACTGCAGCATATCGTGACTTAATACAAATTTTACTTCATCCACAATTTAAAAGAGAACATTTAACTACGAATTTGCAACGTCTTAAAGAGCAATGTGAGCAACTACCATTAATGAAAATTTATAGTCATATTGTTCCAATAAATCCTAAAAACATACCATCTACATCTAAAGACTCTACTTGTGTTTATTATTTTTCTCTAATCGAACATATTCAATGCATATTAAAGAATCCATCTATTAGCCCCTATTTATATTTCGGACCGGGTATTTTATCGAAGTTTTGTAAAGAATTATGGGAGGGAGACCTTTGGGCTGAATCACCTCTTTTCAGCCAACCAAATCTAATTACTATACAAGGTATATACATATATTGGTTCATGTTATAATTAATGATTATAAGTCGATAAATCGACTTAGCCGATTAAAAGTGCTCTCAAGCACCTAAATTAATAAGTCAGAACACAATTTTCGATTAGTGGAAAATAATTATTCGGTCAAGTGAATGCATTATTGAGCTGATGAAAAAAGATGGTCTGAGACCATCTTTTTTTATTCATAGAGTTGTGCTGATAAGCAAAAATTTAATATACTATTCTGTAACATGAATCTTTAGCAAATAAGGTTTACTTTAATTAATCATAGTAATTGTACATTAGTGTCAGAATCATAATGTGTTGACAAAGGTTGGGAAATATATTATTTTATATGCAAAAGGCAGTCAACTTTATATAGCTTACAAAGCTGATTTAACAAGTTTAGGTAGATTACAAACACTAGTGCTAGTTATAACTATCAAAAAAAACTTTTATTTAAATAATTTTATTTATTAGTTTATAATTCGATTTTAATTTATTTATTTACCTTATATATATATTAGATTTATTTAATTGTGGAGATTTTATTAAGTATTGGTCAGCTGCTGAAATTGTTGAAGTTGGTTGAATTAGATCTTTCGTTAGTGTATATGAAAAAATAATGACTCGGATTCAACGATTATTTACATTTGAACAAATTCCACAATATCTACACTCAAAACAAAGCATTCTATCTTCACCAAAAGAACGATATTTAGTTGAAGAGTCTGAATATTTTGTTATTGACCCATCATTATTGATTTGTTGTCTTAAAGTTTGGCTCCAAGACCAACCAGCACCATCTAAGTTTGATTTATTCATCAATAAAATATTATATAATTATAACAGCAGATGAAAATTTCGTTCAATAAATTTACATCATCAGCACCCATCTGAACATATATCTATTAAGCAACCAGCAAATTTAGAGATGCCAGTTCTTAAATTTTATTTAGATTTATATTACGATGATTTTGGTACTTTTAGGAATACTTACTATTTTTTAGATAGCATTTACTTGCAAATTGGTAATATGCCCCAAAAATTAAGAAGACAACTTCGAAACCACTTCATTATTGGATTAGTACCATTTGGTGGCAAATTTCAGGACTTTATAAAAACTTTTATTAAAGAGGTTCATCAACTTGAGCAAGGTTTTGTAATGAATGTAAATGGCATAGATTGTTGGATTTCAGGTGGGTTAGCCATTGTTACAGCTGACTTACCTCAGGGTAATAATATTGCAGGTGTATTGCACCACAATGCTAACCTTGGATGCCATAGTTGTAAAGCTTCCAAGCCTGAATTAACAAATATTTCATTTAATATTTATTTTAATGACTGTTATCATCAAATAATTGACCAAGAGTTTGAAATTATAAAAACACAACCAACCAATTCAGCACGACTACAGGCTTGTTCACAATATGGGTTACGAACATTACTAGGCCCCATTGATTCTATTCTTCATGATCGTCATCAATATATTCCACAGAATGCATATCACATTATTGCAGGAAAAGCAGCATGGCTTCTTGATTGTACTTGCCTTATTCTAACAGCACAAGGTAAAAATAATTTGATCAATTCTTGGAAGTATTTTGAGGTTCCAGCTAAATGGGCATGTTTACCAAATTTAATTTCGCATAGACATTCATTCATGATGTCAGATATTTTGCATATCTTAATGATATTTCCTTTTATACTAAAGTGTTTTCTAATAATTGGAGATATTAAATCTCTTTTTTAAATGAAACAAAAGCTTGATTAAATTTATCTCAGCAAAATAACGTTATAATTTATTTGATTCGGGTGTGGGGACTCTCTATGCAAGTTAGTAAAAATGTTTTTTTATTATCCATTGATAGATTAGATGGGTATACTCGACTTCAAAAAATATTGGATAAAGAACTTAAAGCATTAATAGAGGTATTTATTTATTAATTTGCTTGTTTATTGATTTACTTAACCTTAATTATATATTTAAAAAATGTAATCTACTTAAATAAGTTATCTCCTAATAGTTTTCAAAGTCTTCTGAATCTTCATGCAAGTCGGCACCTAGTGAATCATGCACGTCAATATGCAACATATGTCAACACAGCAGTTGGAATTAAAGAAATGGTGCATAGAATATTTAAATCGATTGTACCACATACAAACAAACACAATCATGAACTTACACTGATTTGACAAGTTAATACATTGCAAACACTCAGTACTTGGCAGATGGAGAAATGAGTACCTTATAAACAATATTCCACTACAATTAATATTCAAAGAATTATTTATTGAATCACGCTTGCGCCACTTGCTGACAGGTTGATGTGTTGATGATACCTTTTCAATGCACTTATCACATAAATATAAACAAGGTATAATATTATATATCTGAACACTATGTATGTATATAGTCAAACTTCTTTATAGTTACCTTCTCTATAGTCACATTTGTTTATAATCATATAAATTTTTACAACCAAATAATATCTATAAAACTTGGCTTCTATATAAGCACAAACTCTCTATAAGCATCAAATTCTTATAACTATGGATGTGATTATAAAGAGGTTTGACTGTATAAGCATAAATTTCATTTTCACTTATATGCGTAGTGTCCAGATATAAAATATATTATTTCTATTCATATTTTTTTTCTAACAAAACTATTAAATTAAAATTAGACAATTTTACTGGTTTTACACATTTCAACTGTTCCGAAGTCAAGCTTAGTTCAAAATGGAACAAAGATAAAATAGAAAGTTCTGGTTTTATTTCCGCTGACCTTGAAACTAATGGACTTTTGGAAAGAGTGATGCATGCATATTCTTCATATTTTTCAACAGAACAATCTTTATTAAAAACAAAAATCTGATTTTATCAGAATGTTTCATATTCTATTATTTAGCCTAATGGTGATTATCAATATGTAAAATTTTGTGTGGGTGAGGTTGTTGAAACCACTTTGCTTGACGATGAACAGCCTGCATTTGGGATGATCAAAGAAATAATTAAATATACATGGAACAATAATCAAGTTTATATATTTATTTATTTAGATTGGATAGAATATCTTAAAAAATTTGACGATTTATTGGGCTGCTCTCTTTATCGCCTCCAACATACTTGTAATAATTCCTGGGATCGAATTCATCCAGTTTTCATTGTATCAAGATCGCCGAATACCCTATTCATTCATAATTGTAAATCAAAATGCTCTCCACAACAGCATGACTTTCAAATCATGAATATGTTCGAAATGACTTTTTTTTTACAGCAATTTAAAAAATTATATGAAATTTATCTTGCCAAATTATATAGCATCATAGGTGGGTTAGTATTAATATAGTTGCATAATTTGATTTTGTTGTGCATAAGAGCTGCAATTAGAATTCGTATTAAATAATATTATGAATTTACCTCTCTTAAGAAAATGGAATTGTTATTTGCTATGGATTTTGCATAACTTTGATATAGCACATTATATTTCACGTTGATATTAATTAAGAAAATTTGATAGTTGATGAAACTATTATTTTTAGCAATCCTTTTTTTAACCATCAACCCAATTACTCATATATAATGTTTATACTAAGCTTTATTATTGAAATGAAATCAGAATTGGGAACACAAAAGTTTACAAATTCATACATTTTGGACAATACTCATGGACAAATGATACCATATTTTATTAAAAAAATGGCATCGTGACCAGTTCAAAAGTTGTAATGAAATGCGTATATGATGAGTCATTCAGCATTAAATGTGATAGAAGCATCTGATTCAAACCAAGTCAGATTAGTACAAAATTGCTATAATATCCTATTCGCAATTTTATTATTATTTACTGTTTGAAATTTGTGCCAAATCATTCGAAATTTGAATTACTTAATATATAAACAAATATAGTGCCTTTCCAACTTACGGGCTCATATGAGTGCCTTCTACTATAGTGGTCAATGTTGTCACGCTGGTATCATGTTTATGTTGAAGATGAATTCTTTAATTAACTCAAAAAAGCCTTAATCCTTATAAAGATACACTCCCCTGACAAAAGTCACCGGCTGTCAATCATTTTTAGTAATGATCAGCAAGCAAAAGGATTTGTTGAAAATCCATTTGTTTGTAATTGTTAGAAGATAGATTGTTAATACCTATATGGTTAGATAGTATAAGACCTGTAGTTTTCAAAAAAATAAAGAAAATTTGATATCGTGTTAGTAGTTTTTTCTCTATGTTTCAAAAACATAAAGAGTTAACTGAAAGTGAACAAAGTCAAATAGTTGGTGCTTGGAGATGTGGTTTTCCAATTCCAACTATCATACAACAATTTAGTTTTCCAAAATCAATGGTTCAAGACGTAGTTAACTACTATGAACAAACTGGCGAAATAAAACCTTCTGCTCGAAGTGGAAGGTCACCAGTATTAAATAATTATGATAAATGTCACTTAATTCGTGTTCTTAAAAGTGATCGCAAAGTTAGTTTGAATGTTTTACAAAATGAGTTTTTACAGTCAACCTCCATAAATGTTTCTACACGTACTTTACAACGGTACCTTCACGAAGAAGGTTACTATGCCTGTGTTGTAAAGAGAAAACCATACGTTAGTGTTCCAAATCAGAAGATCCGATACAACTGGGCAAAAGAACGTTTAAATTGGACTTCTGAGTGGGATAATATTATTTGGAGTGATGAGTCTCGGTTTGAAGTGTTTAGAGGTAATGGTCATAGTCATGTTTGGCGCTTACCTAATGAAAAATATGATGTAAATTGTCTTGTACCAATGTTTAAGTCAGGTAGAAGGGGGGTAATGGTATGGAGATGTTTTACTGCGGATGGTTTGGGTCCATTGATCCGAATTAATGGCCAACAAAAATCGAGTGATTATGATAACCTTTTGAAAACTCATTTATTACCTTTTTTGGATATTCTCGATCCTGATTTAGAGTACACTTTCTAAGATGACAGTGCACCAATTCATCAGGCTTGGGTAGTATCAAATTAGTTTGAAGAAAATCAGGTCAATCATCTTCCGTGGCCCGCACAGAGCCTATACCTCAACCCAATCGAGCACCTTTGGAATGAATTAGAGTGTCAGGTCCGTAAACATATTCCATTGCCAACTAGTGAGGCTGAGCTCTTTTCCTTTTTGGAAGAAGAGTGGTATAATCTTGATGAATCTGTTTACCAAAATTTGATTAATAGTATGCCCAATCGTATTCTTGCTGTAAAAAAAGCTAGAGAAAATCCTACAAAATATTAATTACATAAATAAATATAATAAAGCATTAGCAAAATTTTTTTTAAAAAAATTTGAATACATTAATAAATTTTTTCGCCATAAAATCAGTTAGAAAATTTTTATCATTTTATCGATCATTACTAAAAATAATTAACAGCTGGTGACTTTTGTCAGGGGAGTATACTTCTCGTAAGTAGTGCTATATAATTGTTTTATTATCTGCAAAACAAATTAATCCACTATTTATTTGAAGTGTGTTACATTAAAATTGACAAGAAAGATCGTGATAATTATTATTACGTAGTAAAAAGTATGGTGGTTATGTTTTTTTTATCAACCCAAAAATTTCACTAACATTTATTATTGTATAAATAACAAATAATAGTATATGGAATTTCTATTTAAGAACAACAAATGAAATAACAAGAAAGAAACGTATCAGACGTGTATACTTATCTGCTAGTTATCATGAAAATTACCAAAAAGGCTTATCAAATAAGTTGGCGCAAGATAAATATTTATTTAATATTGTGGTCTGATTTATACCTTATGCTAACTGTTATAATTTTTGATAAACAGTTTATTAGAAGTTGCAATATGTGATAGACCAATATACTAGATAAGGCCATTCAAAACAATCTTGGAATTCAATACAGTGCATAAAGTATCAACACTGAGTTTAGTTACTCATAATGTCTATGTAACATAATGCATTATATTAATTTATAAATAACATATTTTTCTCAAATATAAATATGTAGATAAAGTAATCAAAGGTCGCAATTAAGTATTCAAGTTTTAATCGAAATAATTTAATGCATGATATTTTTAAATGTAGTTGTCTTGTCGAAATAGAATACTTTTTTAACCAGATACAATCGATAAAAATATTCTACAAAACTATATTCCAAACCAGTTCAGTATTGAGAGTATGAATATATTAGGATAAGTATGCATTTATTTATTAATTTTATTTTAAGTCAAATGGTATATTTTAATTTTATCTAATGCAACCATTATTAATTTATTAAAAATATAACTTTGCAGAATATTCTTGTTTTTTATCTTATATGTATTTATGATATCAGAAGCTTATGATGCAATAAAGTTGAGAGAGCAAAAAAGATGAAGTAGGTTTTGTTCTGTTTTATCGAAGTATGCCAGTAGCTGTTTAATTTGCATTATATGTATTATGCACCTATTTAGAGTACTAAATCAACACAAGTGTCAGAACCTCCAAATTTCTAATCTCCTAAACAATTATGGAACTGCTGCACTATCAAATAAACTAAAAACTGCTAAAATACAATTCTTGAATAAGGAAGATGAAGTGAAATTTGTAGATGTTGCTCCAGAAGAACAGACTGCTAAATTGCATGACGAAAATTGAAAGCTTCGTTTAGTAGATAACACATTATTAATTATTTATAAAACAATTAAGCATTTATATTTATCAATTCATTTGATTACCTAACAATTGAAAACCTTTATAACTCATTAGATGAAATAGATCCCTCTAATAGGTATTGGCCAAAGCGTTCAATATACTAAAATTATTCGGGAAGCCAATGAACTCTTGCCATTCCTAGTATCATTCTCATTTGGATCAACTTATTGAGCTAATAAAAATGCACTATGGAAGTAATGTCATGCTGCAGCTCAATCTCACTTGACTTATACTTTACATGATTTGCATGGTTTACTACCTACAGCATATACTATTTGACAATTCACATGGCAAATTATGTGGTGAAAAGAAGAACATCGTGTACTGTATATGCACATGCATAAACTAAGAGATTTTTTTTTAGTGAGTGTCAAAGAGCCAGTCACTGAGAAACTTCTTCCTGAATCGGCAAGCATGCCTCTATGCTACTCTCCTTCTTCTCCTACTTTCATTTCATCTCTTTTTTTTTGGAAACATTATAAAGAGCCAGACTAAAGTCAGGCAGTGAAAGAAAAAGCACAATCGTTCACAAATCCAGTCCCTTTATTTATATATACAATGCATCAATTTTTTACATTTTCTTCCATACATTTTCCCATCTAACCTTAAATAGTACTAGGAATTTGTAATTACACTTTTGGTTTCTACTGTGAATGTCAGGAAAACTGCGACTCAGTCACTCCATGATCTAGAATTTCGTGTAACAAACGATGGGTAACCTTAAGAAAGAGGTGTGTTAGATTTACCTATAGGTTCGGTTACTTGGGTCAGGTATGTTAAATCACATGATTTTGAATTGTGAACAATGATTTTATAAAGTTTACAGGGTTTATAATTGTGATAATGATAGTATATTATCATGATGACTTATTAAATGGTGACTTGTTATTTAATGCAGCAAATGAGACTCACTCTCTTTTAGCCTTTATTTATAATATCAATTTCTACTCCTTAATATTTAACTAATTGTACCTATTATTTTTAAGAATGTTTAATTTTCTATTGTAAAATCCCTTAGCATCCCGAATGCTCTTCAACATCAGAAATGCCGTTTACGATAATAGAATAATTGTATTTTTCACGTGATCGTCTTATTTTTGCCCAGTTTCCTGTCACATTTTGTGGGTTCAAGTGTGAGAAATGATCGATTTTATTAAAATTAAATCAATTTTAACGCAACTTTACCAAGAACGGAGTGATGAAATCATGTAATGTATGGTTATACAATGATTTAAATGAGGAAAATGCTAGTAAAAGAGAAAACCCCATATTGGAGAAGCTCTGCCGAACAAGAAGCCCAAACTGACTACATGTTTAAAAGCAATTTTTAGACAAAAGCATTGAGTCCAGCATGTTTAATGCTAATACTATCGATCGTTCGTAAAAACTCGTAATGATCAGATAATGCATTAAATTTCACAATGTTACATCACCACATGAACCTGAACTTGCATATATCAAACTTGCTTTAAGAAATAATGCAAATTTCTGTGTAGTGGTAGGTGCAATTATCGTTATCAAATATCACCAAACATAGCAATTACCAGATAATATCTCATTAGGCTAATATAGCTAAACAAGAATATCCGGAAGTGCAACTATTAATACCAATCGAGGAGTCCGTTTACATAATGATTACAAATTACATAATTTTCAATCGTGATATTTTTATAAAATAATATCCCTAACTACATCAGAAAAACTAATCCTAAACAAACCAGCTTTGATGTTTCTCCTAATTGAGTATGCTGATTATCTAAGTCAATGACCTAGCGAGAACATGAGGTTAGGTAGATACGTATGTACAAAAATATACAATTCTAATAATATCTATATTGTAAAAGCCTGTGAGTGGTCTTGCATCATGTGAACAGCAATCGTAAGAATCCATATTAATATGAAATCCAATACACACATTGGCCAACTTAATTTTAGAAAAAGGGTGAAGTACTTAAATACAAGCTCTCATATATGATTTTGTCTAGCCAATCAGCTAATAATTAG